GTACATATATTGTACATGAATTATTGTCAGGTAGTAAATGTCAAATTGAACTTGTGCTTTAAAATCAGCTCCTGCTAGTTTTTCCATGGTATAAGAGCTTTTGAAGCTACGGATATAAATATTTTCATAAGCGCTTTAGAAATTGCGGAGCTAATTTTTGGATTAGCGCTGCCCACCACTGGGTTTAGGATAAGGGGTCAGGGTTAGACTGTAGAAATGACCAATAAATAAATGGAAGTCAACGCAACGTTCCCATGAGGAAGGAAGAACAAACGTGCATGTTTTTCTGTCTTATTCTCAAGAATAGTATATCAGTCAGTTTTACTGATATTGAGGTGAAGTCGTGTGTGTTTGCAGCTGAAAACAGAACATCTCCAGAGTTAGAACTGTGTCTCCTGAGATCCTGAATGACATTGTTCACAACGTCTYCCTGGTTTAAGATCTGCTCCTTCTTTCAAGGCAAAAAGCAAGAAAAAAAACAAAAAAAAAACAAGAGGAAACACTATTTTAAAGAGCTTCTTTCCCAAACTCCTGGTGTTTCTTGAAAGATGAAAGCTTCATTTCTTCATTATTCAAGATTACAACCATCTACTTCCAGAAGGCCTGAATGGAGAGTCTAATATTCATGAGCAATCAGTAAAAAGAAGTTTCGTCCTCATTTGCACCATAGAGATGTTACAGATATGTTAAACTGCCGCTGTGTGGAGACACTTCTTTTTATTATCAGATGAATTGCTCCCACTCAGATTGCTAAAGTCTTTTCTACACCTGCACCTGCAGAAAGCCARTGCACGTTTTTGATTCATTAAGCACCCCCTGAGGGCCCAACAAATTTCTCCTCACTAAAATCAATATATGAGCTGCTTTTTCTCAGCGCACTCTGGCTCCCCATCGCCTGGAGGAATGCAGAGGATGAAGGGGATCAGCATGCACTCTGCTGTCAGACTTCATAACCCTTATTTCCCACAGGGCCACACCGCTCTGCCATTGATCAGATGTGCTGCAAAGCATTGTGGGTGGTTGTGAAGGAGCCAGGCCCCTGGGGTCTGTAGGAGGTACAGTAGGTGTTGGGTGGAAGAGCCAGGAAAGGACAAAAAAGTGAGGCCCCCTACACGAGGAGACCACCTACCATGTGGCTTTAGTTCTGATCATTTAACCTGAGCTGACAACTTTCATGTTTTATGTTTCCTGAGTGAGAATGTTTGTGTTCTCACTGCATCCCACAGACCAACCTTAAATCATTTTATTGAAGCTTTTTTGAAAGTAATCATACATTCATAACTTTTAGTGTTCAATTCAAAATGACTACCAAAGATAGTGTGAATATGGCAGTCACAATATTATCACTTTTTTTTTCTGTACGTTTTTCGGCACCTTTCTCATTCCACAATTCTTGCGCTACTTCAACCATTCATATATCAAAACGTTCAGCTCTTTTGTGCAATGCCGTCTATGACTTTTGGTATTTTAGCTATTTATACTTTTTTACCTATTTCACTTTTTTCCCATTGAAGTTTAATGGGGCTATTTTCAACACCCTTAAAATCCTTCAAATAGTTTCTAAATCTTTACAAAACCTTACACAATTTGTTCTGGTTATGCTCTATTTTACTCTCTTGTGCAAATTTTAGCTACTTTTTTGCTAATTTTAGCTGTTTTCTGCTATTTCAGCTAAAATTCTACTTCTTTCTGCTATTCTTCTGCTTTTTTCTGCTAATTTGTGCTATTTATGCTTTTTACAGTTGCTTTCATCTATATTCAGCTATTTYCATCAAATTTAGCTAAATTTTGGCTGTTATTAGCCAAAGTTAGCTTTCTAAGCTAATTACACATTATTTGGAGCTATTTCAACTTAATTCTGCTAAATTCAGCAAATTGTGCTCCTTATTCATCCTTATGCTAATTAAAATTTTTCCATCTACTTTTTAGCTATTTTTCTTAAAACTTTGGCTGMTTTAGCTATTTTACAAAAAATGATCAGTTTTTAGTAGTTTTAGGTTTTTTTCTGCTAATTTAGAATTTTTTACAACCATTTCAACATCTGGGTGCTACTCTCAACTTGAGTCTGCTATCTTTAGCTTATTTTTAGGCTAAAGTTAGCTCTCTGCTCATATATTAGCTAAAACTGTACTTCTTTCTACTATTCTTATGCTTTTTTCTGCTTTGTTTTACTTTTTTCTACTAATTTGTGCTATTTATGCTACTTACAGTTGCTTTCTGTAAATTCAGCTATTTGCTACAAATTTAGCTAAATTTTAGTTGTTATTAGCTAAAGTTAGTTTTCTAAGTTAATTACACATGTTTTTGGAGGTATTRCAACTCAGCTCTGCTAAATTCAGCAAACTTGTGCTCCTAATGCATCCCTAACTAAATGTATCCTGCTACTTTTTAGCTGTTTTACTGACAACTTTCAGCTGTTTTAACTCATTTACTTTAAATGATCACATTTTAGTAGTTTTATGGCACTTTTTTTTTGCTAATTTTGAAATTTTTACAACAATTTTACCATCTGGCTGCTACTTTCAACTTGAATCTGCTACCTTTAGCTTATTTTTATGCTAATTTGYGCTTTTTGCTGCTACATTAGCTAAAAATTTGCTTCTTTATGGTTTTGCTCTGCTAATTACTATTTTTTGTGATTCTTTCTGCTAATTTGAGCTGTTTATGCTTCCTACAGTTGCTTTCTGCAATATTAGGATATTTGCTGCAATTTTCATGACTTCTTCAAACAACTTTGACCTTTTTTTCAGCAGCTTTCAGCTTACATTTTCAGCAACTGGTATTCACACTAGCATTTTCGCAAGAAATGCAATTTCTGTAGTTAACATTAGCCGACACAAAATAAAAGCTAAAACTCAGCCAGTTTAACATGATAGCTCATTTTGATGAGGTAGTAGCTGTCAGTCACCACACATGTTGAGATTGACTTTTTATGAGACTGCAAATAAAGTTATTTAGTTGTATTCAGGAATATAGATGTGTCCGACCTACACTGCACCAGCCAAAGGTTTTATGATGGACCCCATATTTGAGGAGGGGGCTCCGTCTGAAAAAGGGGGTGTCTGGACATGCAAAAATGCTTATAACTCAAAAACTAATTCAAAATTAGGAGCTTCAGAGTTTTTTGGTTGTTTAGCTCTGATGAAGAGCTATCCATCAGGCCCATCAATGATCACCCCCCACCCACTCAGGACTCCCACCCAAAACCAGGGTATCTGCAAGTCAAATTTAAGACTTTTAAAGACCTTTTTAAWACCATCTTGAATGAAATTTAAGACCGAAAATATAAGCAATGGTTCTGCAGAGACGGCCGGGGGAGCTTCTGCCCGACAAAATTTAAGAGCTTTGAGTAACAAATTTAAGACCAACTTGCACATTTTAAACAAATTTCAGACTTTTTAAGGTCTTAATTTTAGATAAGTGAATTTAAGGCTTTTTAAGACTTTTTAAGGACCCCCGGACAATCTGAAAACAATAAATCCGTTCTCAAGAGTTCTGAGTTCTGCTGCATTTGTACTTTGCGTATGTGCGGGGGTCATATATGCTACTGCTATGTGGTATCTAGCGTTTTTATTTGCTCTTATAAAAAACCTTAATGATATAAAGTGTCAGACTTTTTCTCTCTATCTTTTCTTACTTCATACTCCTGCTTGAAGCCGTAGCCCTCGGATGTCTTCATCTGGTTGATGTGCTGCAGGAGGTCAGCCACCCTCACAGCAGGGTGGAGCTGGCCCGTGTGATAAGGGGAGCTCTTCCTCTGACAGTGACGTTGGGGTGAGCCTCCCAGTAAGCTGCTGGACTCATTAACGGAGCTCCGCTGCTCATCTGGGAACACAAACACAAACAGGRCGAGTCGATCTGCTGACACCGCTGACACTGTGGACACCGGCTTCATTCTGTTCTTTTTATGCAAATAAGTCAAAAAGGCAGCTTGGAGAAAAGAAAATCTGCATTTCTGCATGGATGTGAAGGCCGCCACAGAGGAGATTTCTCTGCTGAGCACACCTGTGTTCTGTGCTCACAACAGATTGCACACATGCTTGAATGTAAAGATGGCTGAAGGTCAAAAAGGATTGAGCCACTTTCTCACCACGCACTCTTTGAAGAGCAGCCTTGTGTTTTTCTCTGCCTTACTTCGAGTGTTGCAGCTGTGGGCGTCCATGAAGGAGTGGGCCATCCTCTCATCCTGCTGCAGCGTGCTCTGCTCCGTCATGCTGCAGTCCAACGAGCTCAGCTTTCGACTCTTCTCCTGCCTGTAGGACATGGCTGCCTTGTTGATGGCCACCTTCTTCCTGCTGTAGAGACGCAGGCAGAGAGGAGGGAGGACAGGGAACAGTAACGGACAAAGACCAGCAGAGAAGGGACAGAGTATAACAGGTACAAGAGATAAGGAGAGAGGTGAGGAGGAATTGTAGAGAGGGGGATGGATGAGGGGAGAAAAGATTGAAAGTGCAGACAGAGGGAAAGTGAGATCTGGTGATAGGGACAGACTGTTGATAGAGTTGGAATTAAGGTGGTATCTCACTGGGCTGTGAGACTACAGTGGATATTTGGTCCATCAAAATGTTTTGTTCTCGTCTTCGAAGCTGTGAAACCACGTTTTGCGTGACCAGTTTTTAAAAATCACAACCATTTTTATACGTGCAGTTTTCCACACTGCACTCTTGGTCGTGCACATTATTATATTGTCCACTTCACGCACCTCACCTCTGCAGCCACATTTATGATTTAATGTACGGAGGTGCACTTTAGAGAGACAGATTTGACCACTTTTTCAATAATTATTATTTATCATCAGTGAGTTTTTAGCTAAAAGGACAGCTCCCATGAAGGTGACGAGTTAATAAATGTCCTCGAGAGAACTCGGGTAGGTTGGAGATGCCTGTGGTGCTATGATGCAGGGTTGCTGCAGGTGGTCAAAGAATGAGGTCAGCTGAATATACTGAATAACCAGGTTATTCCATCGATGGATTTTTTCTTCCCTTATGTCACGGGTATYTTCCATGATGACAATACCAGGATTCATGGGGCTCTTATTGTGAAAGAGTGGTTCACACTGCAAAAACTGTCCACCTAACCAAGTTTTAAAACCTTATATCAGCCAAAAAGTCTTTTTGATCTTGTTTT